AATGAAAGTAACTTTAGTTAAGCATCGTAGACCGCAATGGGAACTTCACTTTGGAACGAGGTAATATTTTACTAGTTGTAAAATCGATAAAAAAATGTGTCCTTCGAAACAACAAATTCAATGCTAAAAACACTTATTTGTAAATAATGGTACAAAATATATGATGCTTCACTTGTAGTGAATCTCTTTATGTTTCTACCTCATATTATTTTCCTTATTTTGGTATTCCGTTGTCCTTTTTGAGCTTAGGGTCTATTAGAAACAGTGTATCTTCCTTCATGGGTAGAGGTAAGGTATGTACATCTTAACATCCCCAAACCCACGTGTGGGACTACATTGGTTTTGTTATTGTTGTTGTTGTAATTAGACAAAGTACATCCAAAATTAACAACATACAGAGCATTTCAATAAACCACTTGAACATTCCGGGTTACCCGTTACTAGGTTAAAATCAAAAGTTTCCAACACTTTGATGGCGGAAAGGCACATCATCAGTTCATCCCATTTATGAAACAAAAAAATTTGCATTCTTAGATAAGCCATTCAAAAATGGAAGAAACAACAGAGTAAAAAGATCAGCAGAAACTGAATTGAAGAATCTCAATCAACATGGAAATAAACCAATAACTCGGAAGTAAATGGGGGGGAGTCCCTAATCCAAATGCAGATCTTCATAAATTTTCAAGATAAAGAAATTACCTCTGGTGGTGCCGCACAAAGCATATAGAAACAATGATAGTTTCTTTTAGGGTCAGACACCCGGCACACACGAGATCTTTCCAAAAGATATGTTCTGATAGCAACACCTGAGATTCTTCCCCTTTTATCAAACTGAATTTCAACAAACTTACCAAAACGACTGCCACAAGTACATGATTGAGAAGCAGACATTGATCAGTTCAAAGAACAAAAAAGGATCACACATAATTTATAGCAATTATAGGAGACAAGTCATCTTTTAGGTCTAAGTGAAGTCATGTTTCAACTTCCAAGACTACACATGTTACGGCAATATTACGAATTACGGAGTATATGCTTCAAGCTTGTTACAAATGTATTTTTGTCCTGGGACCTCTAAATGACTTTGACGGGATGTATGAATGTTTATTGTTTGTATGAATTATATGCTTCACCTGCAAATCTTGCAATGAGTCTGGTCCTCGCGAAACACTGGCTTTCATGCAATGTGTATTGCCTCTTGATAGCCACATGTCAACTGAAATGGTTCCTTGCTCCTGTACCTTAATACTTGGAGATGGTGTTTCAGCCAT